CGAAATTTGAATATCAAACACTTAGGTTCAAGATTATGCCAAAATTTCATGTTTTCCGGCCCGTTTTTGCTCATATCTCGGAGGCAAAATGAGCATGAGCAAAATGCATCAACGTCAAACACATTAATTATTCGTTTTTTGCATTGTACATCCAAAAATGGGTCTTCAAGGTACAGAGTGAAGCACCTGCCTTCATTAATATGCACCGCATAATATTTACAAGGATAAGATATCCGTTTCCTCTCAGAAATAAGGTTTTGACTGCCAGTAAAACAAAGCTCGTTATTTCAGTGGTGCTTATGAAATCGACCAATATTTTTGCGCAATGAAAGTAAATAAAAAACATTTTCCATATTTCCCCCGTATAATTGAAAAGGAAAGTTCCAGCGCACGAAAGCGATGCGCAAGGTCACAAAGCTATACATAAAACTCAGGGTCGTTGCCCTAATACAGGGAAAATCCATACCATTTCCGGGGTAATTTGGCACGAAAACCCTTTAATATTAGAGATATATTTTATGCTGTCGCCAAACATAAAAATCAGACGCATGAAACGATTTACATAAAAATCAGATATTTACTCAAAGATCAGAAAGCTAGAGATCGGCCGCATTATATTACACCTTTTCTGAGCTTTACATGTAAGTAGTTAGAATTCAGGCGCTTTTAACAGCTAATTCAAGCAAAAAACCTGCGCATTTTGCATTAAAGCGCACCGCGTCCAATAAAAGAATTATATTCTTCGGAAACATTGCATTCCCAACGATCCCGGCAAACGCATCGACGCGTCCCAACGTTATCGTCGCTAGACGGTTTACGTCGTTTTCTTAGTTTTCTTCACAAAGGTAAGTGTAACTTGAACTTTCCTACTCTCCCATAAAAATGAGTTTCTCCCAAGTTGAATCAGTAGCTCGTCTAGAAATGAACAATGAAGTTGAACCAGGGGCAGCCCCTAATAGTCTTCCCATTTCCTTAAACACCCCAGTGGCGTCTGGCGACGGGTCAATCGTGTTCGAGGCATCCACTCAAACACCAACGTCCGAAGTCCTGGATGAGCCGATTTTCACCAATAAAGCCTGCAGCCTAAAGAAATCTGGTCACAGCGTGTCTGCTTTAGAGAATATTCATCGAATGAGACACCATGGACAGGTAAAAAATATTAAGTCTTTAAGTGTGCAATAGCAGAAGAATTTTAGAAGAGAAGAATTTTCATAGT